TATTTATCTCCATAACAGATTGTGGTAGTTTTCTGTGTTGTAATTCCTCTGATGTGCCTTATATAGAACATTGAGCTGTCCTGTAAGTTTCGAGCATTTTGTTTGACGTTTGAGTTTAGGAACCGTGATGCAGCTGGACTGTCATGAGAAGGTCCCGGGTCACATCCTAGAATCTCCCTGAGCATGCTGGGCAAACATGATCTGGGCTGGCTGAGACTAGGAGTGGAGCATGACCCCATTGGGGATGCTTCTTTTTTCTCTTTCTCTCTGAAGAAATAAATAAATAAGAATAAAACAAATTAAAACTAATGGAAGTGGCAAATGGTGGCACAGCAATGACATGCAATGCTCAGCAAGGCAATCCCGTATGGGAAGGTTCCTAGTTCAAGATGCTGAGCACATGGGCCTTGTACTTGTACATGATCCAGGGCTGGCCAAAGGCTGAAAGTGAATCATGGCGTCAGGACCCTGCTGGAGGTGCTCTCTCTCTCTCTCCTTCTGTCTCTCTCTCTCTCTCTCTCTCTCTCTCTCTCATAAAGTAAACCTTTTGAAAAAGAAATATAGTACTGAATGGGATAAAAATTAGGCACAAACTTAAGATGAAATTTTATAGCAAAATTCAAGAGGTTTAAACGTCACATATAATTTCATGCTATTGATCTTCTCATTTAAATTTTAATAGTTACTGCAAAGAACATTACAATTTATAAATATGTTATAGTTCCAACAAATTAAGTGAAAACTATGCTGAGAGATTTTTATGAGTGTAATAAACATGTATCATTAGTTCATAAAATCACTTTTGTTTTATTTGGATAAAATAAATTTTAGTCAAAGTCATATTGAAAGGAACTTAATCTGTAACAGAAAAGGTTACTGGGTAAAAATGCTTGAGAATTTGAAATAGATACACATTTTGAGATCACGCTAGTCATCCTGAACCTAATGAATTCTATTAAGATGAGAAACAACACATAGTTCTTCTGTAGTGATCAGGACTAACTGTAAAAGATTAAATCTTATGACCAGGAAAGGGAGCAATCTGTGTACATCTCTGAAGTTTGCCTGCGGGTAACTGCCTCGTGTTAAATTGAATTCACTAGCTAAAGCAATTATTTTACTATAATATTTTCCCTTAGGAGGGTAACTGCAAATGATACATGTAACAAACCAACAATAAAAGAAAAAAAGTGGTGCAAAATGTCCTATTATCAATAAAGTGCTTTAACTGTGAAGGTAACCCGACAAACAAAACAAGCAAAAAAATTTGTTTTAATGATGTAAAATGTGTTATTATTGATCTAATTGGTGGCATACTTATAATGGTATCTTGAATTCCTTGACCTTAGGAAAATCTAAAAATGTATAGTAACTTTGCCTACTATCATGCACTGGGAATGTTTCTAACTTCCTGATTCACTTGCCATATACAGCAAAGTGTAAGGACAGGGTTTTCTACTGTCCCTGCTCTAAGAGCTCTGGTATAATTATGCAGTTCAAAAACCTGGTGGGAGGGGCCAGAAGGTAGCGTGGTGGCTGAAGGTGCTGGACTGCCACATGGTTGACCGTGGTTCAAGTCCCAGACCTGGTGGCTTGCTTTCTCACTTTCTCTCTCTCACTCTGTCCTTCTCTGGTCAAAATAAATAAAATTAAATGAAAAATAATTTAAAAAAAAAAAAACCTGGTGGGAAAATTGAATTAAAGTACAAGTTTATTTTGGTGCAAGAAGAAAAAAATCAGAAATCCACAGTTTCTTCATAATACATATTTTTCATGAATTTTTTAATTTTTTCAAGAACGTTTTGAAGACCCCATGTATATAGGGTTCAAGAGCTTTCCATTTCCCACCAACTTCTCCTAGGTTTCAGAGTTCCATCAGAATTCCATTCCTAATTTCAGATACGTAGGTATGCCCTAGGCCACTGAGGTAAAGACTGTCTTCAAAGGGCCCTTGCAATGCTCAGATGTGCCTTGTTTTGTCTACACCATAAGGGACCAGTCTCTAGGCTTCTCAGCAAAGGCCGGGAGTGGCACTTGTCCCAGCATGGCACTAGTGACAGCAGGCACCCCTGGAGGGAGTGGAGGCTGCAGTGCAGAGCCCTGGCCCAGGGGCCACCTGGTCCTCTCTCCATCATGACTTTTATTTCAGTTCCATGGGGCCATTGCGAGCTTTAGTTTACTTGGAGATCAAGAGCCTGGCTCCTCATGGATTCTTTTTAATCTATTATGGATGCCAAAATACATTATGATCTCAGTCCTTCATCGCTGATATTCCAGAACTACTGAAGGGCATGTCTTAAGGAGGATACACCTGGGCCGTTGACTCCATTCAGAGCTCTGAAGTGTATTTTGATGTGTAAAAGTTGAGGACTACATTGTTCTTTTGATTGACCGTGGTGGTATTTTTCTGGAAATGACTGAGCAGGAAAGGCCTAGTCTACTTCAGGATCTAAGAATCCATCAGGGGACTAGTGGGGGAAGACCTCTGGCAATGTGAGAGGATACTGCATCATTACTGAAAGTGCAGACGGTGGGATCAAGTGAGCACTACCACTAACTAGCTGTTACCCTGGGCAAGTTATTGGGTCATAGGGAAAGCCATGCAATTTTGCATAGAGAAACAGAAAAATACCTCATGACTTTCCTGACGGCCTACTAAGTACCTCTCTGACTTACTTTCCTCCCTTATGTTAGTTAATTATGGCTGCTACAATAAATTAGCACAGATTTGATGGCTTAAAGATCAAAAATGTATTTCCTGGCCTGGTCAAAATAAATAAAATTAAATGAAAAATAATTAAAAAAAAAATCTGGTGGGAAAATTGAATTAAAGTACAAGTTTATTTTGGTGCAAGAAGAAAAAAATCAGAAATCCACAGTTTCTTCATAATACATATTTTTCATGAATTTTTTAATTTTTTCAAGAACGTTTTGAAGACCCCATGTATATAGGGTTCAAGAGCTTTCCATTTCCCACCAACTTCTCCTAGGTTTCAGAGTTCCATCAGAATTCCATTCCTAATTTCAGATACGTAGGTATGCCCTAGGCCACTGAGGTAAAGACTGTCTTCAAAGGGCCCTTGCAATGCTCAGATGTGCCTTGTTTTGTCTACACCATAAGGGACCAGTCTCTAGGCTTCTCAGCAAAGGCCGGGAGTGGCACTTGTCCCAGCATGGCACTAGTGACAGCAGGCACCCCTGGAGGGAGTGGAGGCTGCAGTGCAGAGCCCTGGCCCAGGGGCCACCTGGTCCTCTCTCCATCATGACTTTTATTTCAGTTCCATGGGGCCATTGCGAGCTTTAGTTTACTTGGAGATCAAGAGCCTGGCTCCTCATGGATTCTTTTTAATCTATTATGGATGCCAAAATACATTATGATCTCAGTCCTTCATCGCTGATATTCCAGAACTACTGAAGGGCATGTCTTAAGGAGGATACACCTGGGCCGTTGACTCCATTCAGAGCTCTGAAGTGTATTTTGATGTGTAAAAGTTGAGGACTGCATTGTTCTTTTGATTGACCGTGGTGGTATTTTTCTGGAAATGACTGAGCAGGAAAGGCCTAGTCTACTTCAGGATCTAAGAATCCATCAGGGGACTAGTGGGGGAAGACCTCTGGCAATGTGAGAGGATACTGCATCATTACTGAAAGTGCAGACGGTGGGATCAAGTGAGCACTACCACTAACTAGCTGTTACCCTGGGCAAGTTATTGGGTCATAGGGAAAGCCATGCAATTTTGCATAGAGAAACAGAAAAATACATCATGACTTCCCTGACGGCCTACTAAGTACCTCTCTGACTTACTTTCCTCCCTTATGTTAGTTAATTATGGCTGCTACAATAAATTAGCACAGATTTGATGGCTTAAAGATCAAAAATGTATTTTCTGGCCTCTCTTCAGAAAGCCACAAGTCTGAAATCGGTTTAACCAAGCTGAAAGCAGAGTACTGACAGGGCCAGACCCCTTCTGGAGGGTTCTTCTTCCTTGCTTCTTTCTGGAGACTACCAGGATTCCTTGGCTATGGCAACAACACCATAATCTCCACCTTTGTGGTCACATTGCCATTTTTGTGTCTAATCTTCTCTGTCTTCCTCATGTAAGAATACATGTGATTGCATCTAGGGCCACCCAGATAATCCAGGGAACTCTCCCCACCCGGGATCCTAATGTGATCACATCTGCAATGTCCTTTGTTGCCTTAGGAGGTAAAAGTCACAGATTTCGGTGACGAGGACAGGGTTTTTAAGAGAAAAGTTATCCAGCCTGCTGTAAATTAGGTTGATTATAGCACCTAGGTAAACATTAAATGTTGGGGAAGATAAAATCCACCTAGAGGGAAACCAGCAGTTAGCGTAATGGCTATGTCGCTGGACTCCCACGTCGTCGACCACAATTCGAGTCCCGGACGAGGTGGCTTAAAACTCACCCGGACACATGTGCGTACGTGCCCAAGATCCCGAGAGGAGAATGGAGGAGAAGGGATTGTGGCGTGACCATCCCCCCTGGGGGGTGATTTCTTGCTTTCTATCTCTAATGTCTCTGTCTGTCTGTCTGGCGAGCGCACGCACTCTATAGTGAAAATCTCTCCAAAAAAAAAAAGAAAAAGAAAATCCACCTAGAATAGTGTTTAGCGTGCAATGAAGCACTCAGTAAAAGTTAGTTCATGAAGGTGACATCAGTAACGATGCAGCAACAAGAAAATGCAGCAATAAATAAATAAATAAATAAAATATTATATGGAGGGTCCCACTGGATTTTTGATATGCATTAACTTTAATATGTTAATGTCAGACAAAGGATTGTATCTCCATGCTGAATAATTTTAACTCCGTAATTTAGGTATATAATACAGATAGCCCTTTTGGGTTTTGTCTTTTGCTCCTTTTCACTGGAAATCATTTCAGCAATTTTCTCTCTTCTGAGTTCTTCCTAAAGTCAAAGCCAAAGATGTGATATAATACAATCATCTCCCTTTGCTCTCTTTCCTCTTCCACCCAGGACACAGATCTCATGACATTCAATATCTCTGTACATCGGTCATGGTGGCGAGAACACGGGCCAGGGTGTGTCCGAAGAGTGCTGCCCCCTGCAGCCCATGGCATGATGGATGACTTCACCTACGTCTCCGTCACAGGCTGCATCGTTGACTTCCAGTACCTGGAGGTCATCCACAGTGCCGTCCAAATAGTGCTCTCTGTAAGTACCATTTTGTTTCTTTATCTGATGAGGACTTTGTTTTATTGGCATTGTGTATCTGCACCTACCTGGTACACAGTACAGGAAAGCACGCAGGGAACACCCTTTACTTTATGGAAATAGCAGCAATTACGGCGTCACTAGTTGTACATAACAGCGGGTTATATCTTTTTCTTCTTGGTATCCAGACATTTTGTTTTCAGAACCAGTTAGTTGCTATAGTTCCTAATGTGAAATGCAATCTACATCATCCAATTAAATAATATCACAGTCCCCAAAATGGTGCATTGTCCATTAGCTTCCATAGGCTCATCTACCAATACATTCTTCTACAAAGGGATGCTAGTTACAGAAAAAGAGAGATGAAAACACACAGTGGTGTGATCAAACCTCACATTTTAAATAACTGTTCCTTAAAAAGCAAGTTTCTCCAGAGACTCTACAAAGAGATGCTAGTTACAGAAAAAGAGAGATGAAACCACACACGCACACACAGTGGTGTGATCAAACCTCACATTTTAAATAACTGTTCCTTAAAAAGCAAGTTTCTCCAGAGACTCTCAGCATGTTAGTACCTAAAATTTGGTGATGACATACAGTTTTACACCATGACCATTATCGATAAAACAAGAGATAACAAATGTTGAAAAGGATGTGAATAAAACAGAACACTAGTACAATGCCGGTGAAAATGTGAATGGTGCAGCCATTTCACTGCCCTTACCTTGTTCGTGTGTTTAGTATTTTCTCACCACAAGGATAGTTATCCTATTTCTACCGCATCCCTTAAACATGCCCATTTCCATAACAATAGTATGGATGTTCCTAAAGAAGTAAAAAATAAAATTACTAGGGTCCGGGTGGTGGTACAGAGGTAATACAACTGGAGCTACAGGGGAAAGGTTCTGGGACCATGTCCTAGATCTCCCTGGGGATGCTGACATGCACACACCCATGGTCCAATACAGTTGTGACTGGGGGTGGATTGACGCACAAAGATTCTGTTGGGAGTGCCTGGCTCCTTCTTTTTCTTCTCTATATCATACAAGAAATAAATAAGGAAACTTAAAAAAAAATAGAATTGCCATATGACCCAGCAATCTCTATTTTAGGTATACCCATGTTAATTATGTCATCATTCATAATGGCCCAGAACAACTTAAATATACATATATATTACACATATAATTATATACACATACCCACATCGTTCACCTGTTTATATATATATGTATATTTATATTTATGTAAAATTTGCCTCTGTCCCTTTCTCTCATAAGAAATAAATTGGGACCAGCAGGTGGCATAGTGGTTAAAGCACTGGACTCCCGCATGGCCAACGGCTGTTCCAGTCACAGACCTGGCAGCTTGAAAATCATGCTGGACACATGTACATGTGTGCCCCAAATGCCAGGTGAATGAAGAAGAAGGTAATGTGGCATGTCCACTCCCCACCACCACCCCAGAAGGTGATTTCTCAAACTCTCACTGTGATCTCTGTCTTTCTCTGGCAAACACACATGCCCAATGGCAAAATCTTATAAAAGAAAAAGAAAGGAAGAGAAAATGAAGGGAGAAAGGAAGGAAGGAAGGAAGGAAGGAAGGAAGGAAGGAAGGAAGGAAGGAAGGGAGAGAAAAAGAAAGAATAAAGAGAAAAAGAAAGAAAGAGAGAGAGAGAAGAAAGAAAGAAAAAAGAGAAAGAAATTAACTTTTAAAAAACTGTACGAAGTGATAAATCAAAGTCTGGACCCAGGATCTGGCTTTGTGATGAGATGAGTTCCTTCTCTCCATTCTCACTGGCCTTTCTTCATTTTATGTGTTCATTATTTCTCACCTGAACAATGACCAATAACTTCCTAAATAGCCTTTCAGGCCCCATTCTGCCCCACCTATCATGGATGCCCTTGCTTCTGGAGAGATGATTCCTGGCACCAACTTTATCTCTCACCATCTTTCTAGTAACTCTTCACTGATTCCCATCATCTTTAGGATGAAATTTGAATTTGCAATGTGGCATGTGAGGCCCTCATGACCTTCTCACCATGATTCCCCCTTTACCTCTTGGCACTCCCCTAGAATCCCAGGTGCATTTCCACAGAGCCTGGCATGCTCTGCAAGCCCTCCACATCATCTCATACCTCCCAAGGTGAGCACTTTCATGAAAGGAGTTTCACCCCATCCCTTCTCCTTCCCACCACAACCTCCGTTCTTCATCCCCATGGCCACTAGTAGACAGACATCTTTCCATCAGGAGACGTCATTCCCTAAAAAATTTCAGGATATCTTAACTTAATTTTGAAAATAAATAATACAGACTTATCTCAGAAATACAGTAGATTTGTTTCCAGACTACCATGATAAAGCAAATATAGCAGTAAAGATAGTCACATGATGTATTTTGATTCTTGGTGCATGTAACAGGTTATGTTTACACTGTACTCTTATTAAACGTGCAATGACATTTTGTTTAATAACAAAATATGTACCTTTATCTTAAAATACTTTTTTTTTTTAAATGGTGATGATTATCTAAGCCTTTAGAGAGTTTTAGTCTTTTCGCTGGTGTAGAATCTTGCCTCAATGTTGACTGATTGGGGAGCAGTTGCTAATGGTTGGAGTGGCTGTGGCAATTTCTACAAATAAGGCAGAAATTAATTTTTACACATCAATTTACTCTTCCTTTCATAAAAGATTTATCTGTAACATGGATACTATAATAGCATTTTAACCACAGTAAAATTTCTTTTGAATTGGAATCAATCCTCTCAGACCCTGTCACTTCTTTGTCAAGTAAGTTGATGTAATATTCTACATTCTTTGTCATTTTAACAATGTTCATACAAAGCATCTCTACCAGGAGTGCATTTCATCTCAAATCTTATAATTTATTTGTTCATCTTTAAGAAGCAACTCCTTATCCATTCAAATTTGATCATGAGATTCCAGCAATTCAGTCACATGTTTATGGTCCTCTTCTAATTCTCTTGCTATTTATATAACACCTGCATTACTTCCTTCACTATGGACTAGGATAAATAATTGTAAACTATTTATCTAATCGAGGTTAGTATTCGAAATTTATAAAGAAATCTTACCACTCAATAGTAGAAAAACTAATAATATTACTAAAAAATGGGGAAAAAATAAACGGGCATTTCTCCAAAGAAGACATAAAAATGACCAGAAGGTCAGAATTAATGTCTTGAGCCCCTCAAAGTCCTCCATGAGAGCCGGAATCAACTGTTTTCAAATTCCTGTCAATGTTAATATTTTTACCTCCTCCCATGTATTATAAATATTCTTAATAGCATCTAAAATGGTGAATCCTTTCCAGCAGATTTTCTGTTGACTTTTCCCACATCCATCACTCTCTTTGGCAGATATAGCTTTATGAAATGTATATTTTTAAGTAATAAGACTTGAGAGTTGAAATGACTTCTTAATCCATGGGCCACAGAGTAAACGTTATGTTAGCAGGCATGAAAACAATGGTAGCCTCCTCATATATACCCATCAGAGATCTTAGGTGAGTAAGCATATTGTCAATTAGTGGCAATATTTTGAAAGGAATCTATTTTTTTTTCTTTTGCCTGAGAAGTTAGTTTTAACAATGGGCTTAAAATATTCAATAAAGCATAGTATAAACAGATGTGCTGTCATCCCACTTTGTTGTTCCTTATAGAGCATAGGCAGAGATTTATCATAATTTTTAAGGGTCCCAGGTTTTGGGGAATGGTAGATAAGAATTGTTTTTTACATAAAACAACTAGCTGCATGAGCCTCTAACAAGAGAGTCAGCATGTCTTTTGAATCTGGTATTGACTTCTGCTCTCTGGCCGTGAAAATCCTAGATGGCATCTTCCCATAATACAAAACTGTACCACCTATGCTGAAGGTCTTTTGTTTAATGTGTCCACCTTCATCAGTTTTCTTAGCTAGATCTGAAGCTTCTACATCAGCCCTTACTACTTCACCTTGCATTCTTATTATGGAGATATTCTTCCTTAAACCTCATGAACCAGTTTCCTGCCAGCTTCAAACTTTTCTTCTGATGCTTTCTCACTTCTCTCAGCTTTCATAGAATTGAACAAGAGTTAGAGGGATGCTCTGGATTAGATTTTAGCTTAAGAGAATTTTGTGGCTAATTTGATCTAGATCACATTTCAGTGATAGGCTATTTCATTTTTATCATTCGTGTGTCCTCTGGTGTAACACTTTTAATTTCCGTCAATAATTTTTTTTTAATTTATAACTTGACTAACTATTTGGCACAGATACCTAGCTTTTGACTTATCTCACCTTTTGATATGCCTTCATCAATAAGCTCAATCTTTTCTAGATTTTAATTTAAAGTGAGAAATATATGACACTTTTAATATTTGAACACTGACAAGACAATGTAGTGTTATTAACTGGCATAATTTCAATATTATTGTGACTCAGGGATAAGGGAGGCCTGAGGAGAGGGAAAAAGATGGGGCAACAGCTGGCTGATAGAGTTGTTAGAACGCATCCTTTATCAATTAAGTCCACCATCTTTTCTGGGCATAGTTCTTAGAGGTCTAAAACAATTACAAGTATAAAGGACCATTGTTCACCATAACAGATATAATAATAATGAAAAAGTTTAAAATATTGTGAGAACTTCCAAAATGTGACACAGAGACATGATGTGTTTCCAGAAATTATTGGAAAAATGACTCCTAGTAGGCTTGCTTGACACAGAAATAGAACTATGAATATGTTTTTCAAAACTAAAGTTTTTAAATGTATCACATTTTAAATAGTATGGTTTAACCATCACATAAATTATATAGAAGAGTAGAAGAGATATTATGGTTATTTTTCTCAGATTACTAAGCAGTCTTAAACCTCATAACATTTATGTGATCATATGGAAACACTCTTAAATCTTAGTTATTACAAGCTATCCCTCTATTACTTTATTATCACTTCATTATTACTCTAATAATCTACCTAGTTCTGGGATCAATAATAAT